GCCAGTGACGCCGGCCCCCAGGTGCTGCCCGGAAACGCAGACGCGCGCAGCCCCCGGCCCGGCGCTGACCCCGGCCCTGCGGTGTAGCGTGTGACCCGGGACCGTGTTTCCGACCTTAGAGTCGCATTCGCCTCTGCTGTAGATGGGGCCGCGGTCTGTGCGTGGCGAGATGGCTTAGATTGCCGCAGGGAACGCGTTCTCAGGGAGCCGCGGCCGAGCAGGTGCGCGCCCGGGCGTCAGCACGGCTCCGGGGAAGCAGGGCCAGGGCGTGGGTGCCGGCGGGTGCTGGGGGACCGTCGGGCGCTCCAGGCGGAGACACAGGCGCGGAATAAATTGGGCTAGGAATTAGATGGACTCCAAAGCCGGACCCCGTCATCCACAAGCATAAGCTCTGACCCGTTACCAGCATGTCAGCAAACTGCGCCTGCAGTGAGAATGGTTTTCCCCGCCTGGTTCCGAGCAGTGAAAGCCCGGTTCGAGGGCCTTTGCACCTCGCTGCACCCCCAGCCCTTCTTTCTTTTTTAAAAATTTTTTTTGAGGCAGTATTTCACTAAGTCTCTAAGTTGCCCAGACTGGGCTAGAACTTTCGATTCTTCTGCCTCAGCCTCCCAGTGTGCTGGGATTATAGACATGCACCACTACACCGAGTTTAAGTGTACCCTTTTTTGGAGACAGATTCTCACTGTATATTTTATGCTGGCCTCGAACTCACACCGATCCTCCTGCCTCGACCTCCCTAGTGCTGGGATTACAGGCATTCGACCTTTCCCGCAAAGCGTATCATTTAATGCTTTTAGCGCAGACTTGTGCAGCCATCACTACAATTACTTTTTGGAACATTTTCATCACCCTACCCCGCCCCCCCCAAGAAAAAAACCTTTGCCCTTTGGCTGTCACTCCCCAATCCTCGATCTTTCCCAGCCCAGGGCAGCCGCTAATCCACCTTCTAGCTCTTTATTTATTTTTTTTTTTAATTTTTGTTTGTTTGTTTGTTTTGTTTTTCTCCGGTATCGGGAACCGAACCCACGACCTTGCGCTTGCCAGGCAGGCGCTTTGCTGGTGAGCTAAATCCCCAGCCCCTAGCTCTTTAAATTTCCCTGTTCTGGGCGTTTCTTGTAAATGGAATCATCCAGTATGAGGTCCTTCGTGATTCGCTTCCTTAATATAATGTCATTTTTTTAAATGGCTGGGGGGAAAAACGCTTTCAAGACACGTGAAAATAATTTGAAATTCAAATTTCAGTGCTTATAAATAAAGTTTTATTGAATAAATCCCACTCCTTCATTTACATATTATCTGCTGCTGCTTTTGTGCTACAGAGGCAGAATTGAATAGTTGCTACAGAAATTGTACCGCCTGGCAAAACCTAAAGATTTACATAACATCTCGGCCTTTATAGAAAAAATTTGCCAGGCCCTCTGTTACTGTGCGCACACACGTACTGGGGAGCAAACCAGGGCCTTCACAAGGAGCTATGTCCTCAGCACCACACTTCTTTTAACTTTTAATTTTGAGGGAGGGTCTCACTAAGTCACTGAGCTGCCCAGGCTGGGCTGGAGCTTGCAGTCTTGCTCAAGCCTCCCAGAGTGCTGGGGTCACAGACACGCTCCACCACACCCGGCCCGCACATCTCTGTCACCCTTTTCCTTTATGCCCATCCTCTGCCTTACGTGTTACTCGAGATGCGGCAGCGTGGCAGTTTTATCTGTCACCTTACCCTCCTGTTAGCTGTTTCTCTCCACTAATGCTAACAGCTCCTGCATGTGGAAAACTATACTTGTTGCTGGATGCACGAGTAGTGTTTAGGACAGAAAGAAGAAGCCAGACTCAGAAAGACAGGCATCACGTGTTCGCCTTATGTGGGATCTAACAAAGATGACACGGAAGTAGAAGGAAGACTATTATTAGACAAGACAGAGGGGGTACTGTAAATGGGGGGCTTACAGGACAATAGTGGGATGAATGGGAACCCAGTATATGCAGTGAACGTCAATACTTTGAAAAATTAATAGGCACTATAAAAAGGAGAAAAGAGGAACGAGGAGGTGGGCGTGCTTTGCTCCATGGAGGGAGCACGTACCTCCAGTTTTATTCCCAGCCTGTGCTGCAGAAGAACAGACCCATGCAAGAAGCAGTATAGGAAGGTGGGCATAAGGGCTCAATGCCTATAATCCCAGTGATCGGGAGGCTGGGGCAGGAGGATCTCAAGTTCAAGCCCTCCCTGGGCCACATAGTGAGTGCAAAGCCAGAGTGAACTACACAGACACACACGCGCGCGCGCGCGCACACACACACACACACACACACACACACACACACACTGAAGCAGTACAGAGTAAAGGAGTCTGAGGAACTTGGGTGTGTCCCTTCCACCAGGAGAGGAGCATTGTCTTATCTGAGGGGCCGGCAGGAAGAGAACAGATAGCTTGTGTGTAAGCTTGTGTATAAGCTGATCAAGAAGGTCCAGGGCTCCTAGCTGTCCTCTGGAGGGAATGAAGCCCAGTGTAACCAACACTTTTGTTTGTTTGTTTTGTTTTTTATCTGTTTTTTGAGACAGGGTCTCCCTATGCAGTTCAGGCTGGCCTTGAGCTCACTTTGTAGCCCAGGCTGGTCTCGAACTCACAACGATCCTCCTGCCTCAGCCTCCCAAGTGTTGGGATTACAGGCGTGTGCCGCCACACCCGGCTGTAACCAATACTTTTTCCCCCTCAGTCCTAGGGGTCGAACCCAGGTCCTCAAGCCTGCTAGGCAAGCGCTCTACCACTCAGCAGTAGCCCCAGCCTTTCTTACTTTTTCTTCTCTTCAATCTAGTGGTTCCTCTGACATAATGCCGTAGGCTTTCACCTTTCCCTTAACATCAGCCTGGCCTGCCCCACCAGCCTGTCCATTTTACACAGCTGTGTGCCTTTCTCTTGGCGCTTCTTACCCACAGCGGGGACGGAGCAAGCAAAGGCCCTGGCCCTGCCGAGGGCTGGTCAGGAGGGTGTGTTTGCTGTGGCTGTGAGTGTGGCACACCAGGTGGAGGAGGAGCATTCTGGTTGGGCTGTGGTTTCTTTGTTTTCCCCGTACCAGGGATTGAACTCAGGACCTCACGCTTGGCAGGCAGGCGCTACACTCCTGAGCTAAGTCCCCGGCCCCCGGTTGTGGTTTCTAAAACTGTATGTGGGGTGCTTCCTGTTCCACAGAGGGCACCAGCCCGCAGCAGTAGTCAGACTCGGGGAGACCTGGCGCCCTCCCTCACAGTTCTCAGAAGCTCCGGGGCGCAGTTCCCTCACCTGGCAGCACGGTTTGCCTCTGGAGTGAGCAAGCGCTGTCCCTTCTGCAGCTGCCAGGGTGGGGAGTCCTGCGGCTCGGCCTCCCGCCCGGTGTCGGCTTCCCACAATGTAGGACAACAGTCTGCCCTTCTCAGCCAAGAGAAGCAGGGTGAGCTGGGCCAGTAGCAGGGACAGAGGTGCTTTAAATCCATCTCTCTTTCGTGGTACTGGATATTGAATCCAGGGCACTCTACCACCACTGAGCTATATTCTGGGACTTTTTTTTAACTCTTCAAGCTGATGTATCGGCAAAAGGGCTGGGGCTATAGCTCAGGGCAGAGGCCTTGCATTCAGTCCCCAGTACCATGATAGAAAAAGAGAGAGAGAGAGGTTGATTGACAGATATCCATCAGTCTCTCAGGTCAGAACCCCTGGGTGGATGAAGGACTTTCCCAGCTGACTGGCTCTCTGGCCCAGGCCAAGCTCCGTCCCTGGCCTCCTCGCTGAGTGAAACAGCATTCGATTGTTTCCGGTGTTGCCCCTCACGGTTCTGGCGCTCTTTCCCTTGAGTGAGTGAAGTAGAAAGTCCTGTGGCTTTGCCCGGGAGCCCAAGCCCAGGATGTGAAGTCAGGGTTCCACTGCTGGAGTCCAGGGCGAAGGCTGGAAGGAGGCTGCCTTGAACGGCCTGAGCTCCCTGTGAGGAGGGATGGCCGTCTTCTGAAGCTTCCTTGTAAAGCCCTTCTAGTTGGTGTCCGAAAAGTAGGGCAGTATAATGGCCCGTGACCAATAAATCCGCAGGCCGCAGGCCTGGCACTGTCTCTTGTCAATCTCATCCTGTTGCTTGGGAGGACCAGGCCTTTCTGGAGCTCCTCGGAAGCCCTCAGCTGTCTGCCTTGCCTTTCCAGAAAGCCATTGATCTGGTGACGAAAGCCACAGAGGAGGACAAAGCCAAGAACTACGAGGAGGCGCTGCGGCTGTACCAGCATGCCGTGGAGTACTTCCTGCACGCCATCAAGTGTGAGTCACGCGGGGTCACGGGCTCTGCGAGCAGGGCGCTCGGGGCTCACAGGGCCACCCTGCATCCCTTTTGCAGATGAGGCTCACAGTGACAAGGCCAAGGAGAGCATTCGAGCCAAGTGTGTGCAGTACCTAGACCGGGCGGAGAAGCTGAAGGATTATTTAAAAAACAAAGAGAAGCACAGCAAGAAGCCCGTGAAGGAGAATCAGAGCGAGGGCAAGGGGTGAGTGAGTGGAGCGCACCGCTGGCTCCGCGCCCTCTTCACATGGCGATGTCATTCTCCGTGCCGGTGCCGCTCGGACTTGCATGGCAGCCACACTGTGGGAAACTCTTGCTCCTGTTACGGCAGCAGCTGCTCTCCCTGGCACTTCACAGAGCATGTTTCCGAGTCACTGTGCTGGTCTGCATAGAAACGCCTGGCGAGGGGTGACAGCCTTGGCCTCTCACAGCCCTGCTCTCGGGTTGGAACCTGGCTCTGCCACTGCCTTGCCCAGGAGGGAGGACGAGGGAGCTCTGCCCCAGCGCCGCTGTAGGGAGCAGAGGGGGTGACATGACAGAGCCTCAGAAGGGAGCTTGGCACATGGTGAGCATTCAGTAAACGCCAGCTGCTGTCATCACAAAGAAGCATCCTCACCAGAGAGGTGAAGAGGTACAGCCAAGGTCACAGAGCCAGACCCAGTGCGACTGGATCTCTGGCACTGGCCTGTGGCTCCACAGCAGGCATCGCCATGCCTCTCAGCTCAGGCCTGGGCTCTGCCCGCCAGGGCGAGGCCAGTCAGCCGCGCACAGGGGCCTGGTGCCCTGGGCGGGAGTGGGGGGGCTCCAGGAGGTGAGACTTCCTCCCGGACGCGGAGCACACGCCTGCAGTCAGATTCCCAGGTGAGAGGTGTGCTGAGGGATAGGAGACGCAGAAGAGTTTTAAGGGCGACAAATAAGTGGTGTCAGGATAGAAAGTGGCCATTAGGGTCAGAGCCCATCCCCTTTAGAGGTGTCTTATGTGTGTGACAGGATTGAACCAGGGCCTCATGCAAGCCAGGGGTCAAATGCTAAGCAAACTAAGGACGAGCTCTGAGCACCAAGCCGCGTCACCAACCTTTTTATTGGTCATTTTCAGGCAGTCTAAACTGCCCAGGATGGCTTCCAACTTAGAATTCTCCTGAGTAGCTGGAATTATAAGCGTGCACCTCGCCCCAGCTTCCCCTTTAGTGCGTGTGTGCATGTGTGTGCATGAGTGTGCATGGTACTAGGGAGTGAACCCAGGGTCGTCACACTGAGTTACCTCCCCAGCCCTAAGACAGGTTCTCAGTAAGTTGCTCAAGCTGAGTTCAAACTTGGGATCCTCCTGCCTCAGCTTCCCAGCGTGCTGGGATGATAGATGTGCCCAGCTTTCCGTTTCATTTCAAACTTTACTTCTTGTCTGTCCTTTGGATTACTCTCGAGTCGTGGCCGTGTACCTCTTGTCTGTCCTTTGGATTACTGTGGGGTCGCTGCCATGTGCTGTTTCCAAGTCTATACAAAAGGCCCCTGATGACTACATTTACCTGACTGGCTGGCTGCCCTTGAAGTCCAGCCAAAGCACATTTTCCTCTCCAGTCCTCAGGACAGGGTAGACTTCCCAACCTGTATTCCCTTAATAAAAAAAAAACACACGACATCACTGTGACTGTGTTTGCTGGAGGAGAGCGTGTGGCCCTGACACCTGCAGGCCTGACCCGCTCACCTGTCCCTCGGCAGAGCTGAGCTGGGAACATTCCTCACCCAGGTGCTGTGGCAGAGCCCAGCGCTCATAGCCCTTTGGCTCCAGGCTGAGGCCCAGCGTGTTAGCTTCCGTTTCCTCTCTCAGTAGTGACAGTGACAGCGAAGGGGATAATCCAGAGAAGAAGAAGCTGCAGGAGCAGCTCATGGGTAAGCGGCCCGAGCCCGCGTGCTGCATGTCCTGTGAGGGGCTGTGGGAGCCCTGCATCGGCTCTTGCTCATGCCGGGCCTCCCGCTGCAGGTGCTGTTGTGATGGAGAAGCCCAACATACGGTGGAATGACGTGGCCGGGCTGGAGGGGGCCAAGGAGGCCCTCAAAGAAGCTGTCATTTTGCCAATTAAATTCCCACACTTGTTCACAGGTAAGAGCTGAGCCACCAGAGGTGCAGGTGTAAACTCAGGCTCCTATGGGAGCCGGCGTGGGTCCCCTCTGCAGTGTCCCAAAGCAGATGGCTTCGGCAGCCTTGGCCCACGGGACAGGGCCTGGCCTCGCATGTGTGCCGTCGGGAGAGGCCCTGGGGCCTGCTCCCCGCTGCCGCCGTCAAGAGCACTGGCGAGCTGAGATGTAGCTCAGCGGCAGAGCGCTTGCCTAGCATGCACGAGGCACGGATTTAGTCCCCAGCCCTGAGAAAGAAAAAAACCTTTTTGTGAGTGGAATTTTGAGGTGAGCGTTGCAAGGCCTGGGCACAGTGGTTAACAAGGGTGAGGACTGTGCTCCGAGCAGGTCCTTAGGTCCCTTCTGCCTGTGCTCCCCGATCAGCCGCTTTACAGAACTGTTTTACTCTATTTACAGTGACTGAAGACCTCCCGCCTTTATTTTGTCAGGAAGAGGCTGACTTGGGTTTGTTCTTTTTGCAGGCAAGCGCACCCCTTGGCGAGGAATACTGCTCTTCGGACCCCCTGGCACAGGGAAATCCTATCTGGCCAAAGCTGTGGCAACAGAGGCCAACAACTCCACCTTCTTCTCCGTGTCCTCCTCTGATCTGATGTCTAAGTGGTTGGGGGAGAGTGAGAAGTAAGTCAGCCGGGGCAGCCCAGCTCCCCTGCCCCTCGGGGTCACTTCCCAGAGGCGCCAGGACAGTAGTAGGAGAGCTAGATTTGGCCAGCGTTTTGGGTGGGGCCCTGTCCTGGCGGACTGGGGAACCTGGAAGGGAACCCGGGAGATGAAGTACCCAGAAGCAAGGGGAAGGCACCAATGTGACAGTATCGGCCCAATCTCCAGTTAGGGCGCTGGATATATTTTACCTGTTCCCCACACTGGCTCCCATTGGCACGTGAGGAAAGTGAGGCTCAGAGGAAAGGAAATGCCCTGTCCTGAGTCCAGAGCTGGGATCTGAAGCAGTGCCGAGGCACGCCCTCCCCCTTGGTGCGGACTTGTCACCACCATTGTTCCTATGGGAACGACGAGAACAGTGGTGACGACCTCGGCAGGCACATTCCGGAGTGTCCGGCTCCTAAGCCGCTGTCCCCCTCAGGCTCGTGAAGAACCTCTTCGAGCTGGCCAGGCAGCACAAGCCCTCCATCATCTTCATCGACGAGGTAGACTCCCTGTGTGGGTCCCGAAATGAGAACGAGAGCGAGGCTGCCCGGAGGATCAAAACAGAGTTCCTGGTCCAGATGCAGGGTGCGTCCCAGTCCTGGGCCCCCTTGGCAGTGGCCGCAGTTGATCGCTGTGGGGTGGAGAAGCACCTAGAGGTGCCGGCTTCAGGCCTCGGGCAGGCTTTCACAGCTCTGGGCCGGCAGCTTTGTAGTCTCCTCACCTGCCAGAGCCAGGCTAGCTTAATTTCATCTGGGACTCTGAGTGTGGCAGAGGGCGCTGACGGACCTGCGGGCGCCCTCAGAGTCTCTCCCTGCTCCACAGGGGTGGGGAACAACAACGACGGGACTCTGGTGCTTGGTGCCACAAACATCCCCTGGGTGTTGGACTCGGCCATTAGAAGGAGGTGAGTTCCCCACAGGGGTGCTGCGGTCTCCCTGCCCTGGGCAGCCTGTGGGTGGGCCCAGCCCCGTTCTCTGCAGTGCTCTGGTCTGCACGCCGAGCAGAGCCCTCAGTGAAGCGCGTTTCTCAGGGCCTTGGTGCGGCCGCAGTCTCCGTGCTGCCCCTGCATTAACGCCGCTCAGTGATTTGCCTCATTCCTGCCACGGGCTTTGCTCTCTAGGTTCGAAAAGCGCATTTACATCCCGTTGCCTGAGGAAGCTGCCCGCGCCCAGATGTTCCGGTTGCATCTGGGGAGCACTCCCCACAACCTCACAGACGCCAACATCCACGAGCTGGCCCGGAAGACAGAGGGCTACTCGGGCGCAGACATCAGCATCATCGTGCGGGACTCCCTCATGCAGCCTGTCAGAAAAGTCCAGTCGGCAACGCACTTCAAGAAGGTGGGTGGTTCGGGCGTGGTGGTGCACACGTGTAATCCCAGCACTCTGGGAGGCCGCGGCCGGAGTTCAAGCCCAGCCAGGGCAACTTAGTGACTTAGCAAGACCCTGTCTCAAAAACAAAAAGGTACTGGGGATGTAGCTCGGTATTAAGGCCCTGGCGTCCGTCCCCAGTACCCTCCCCAGCCTCTCAGCAGAGGAGGTGAATGGTAAGCAAATCTTAGACAGTGTCACTAGAATGAGGGGTTATCAGTTTCCCTGGCTTCTCCTCAGGGCACACATTCTCAGTGTCCTGGAGAACCGGGGCAGAAGCCAGGGGCAGGGCTGGACCTGTCCTCCCTTTCCTGCAGCTCATCCTTGAGTGCGCCTGTCTCTAGCTGTGAGAAAGCAGAGGACAGAGTAGCCTCAACTCCACCGTGCCTGTGGGCAGGGTGCACACCAAGGAAATGCCTGAAGAGTGCAGGTCTAAAGTGGGGATTTACTGGGTGTGGTGGCACACACCTATAGTCCCAGCAATTAGGAGGTTGAGGCAGCAGGACTGCTGTGAGTTTGAGGCCGGCCTGAACTGCATAGCAAGACCCTGTCTCAAAAAGACCTACATAAATAAAGTGGGGATTCACCAGGAATCTCTTGAGTGTCTCCTGTGGGTCTGCTATGTCCTGGCATTGTAGGCACCAGGGAGACATCAGTGACCAGAAAACAGCAGGAAACACCTCTGCTTTCCAGGAGCCGCCCTTCAAGTAGAGGGAGACGGCCAAGGTAAAAACTGGCTCCTTAGAGGATGGTGACAGGGAGGCAGCGCAGGGACAGGGAGAGCAGGAGCTCCAGAGGTTCAGAGGGGTGAGCGGGTTGCAGTGTTAAAGGACAGGCCATGCACAGTAGCATTTGAGCCACAAACTGGAGGGGGTGAGAGAAGGGGCTGTTTGCTGGTCCTGTAGATTTCAGCGGGAAAACCGTATTGCTGCAACTGAAATTGTGGTGAGACTTGATGCCGTCGCTGAGGAAGGTGAGAAGCTGAGATTCTGGAGACCAGGGCCGTGGGCGCCTGTGAGTGACTGATGGAAGTAAGAAAAGCCATTCCCAACCTCCTAATTGCTGGGACTATAGGTGTATGCCACCACACCCAGTAAATCCCCACTTTAGACCTGCACTCTCAGGGGCGCCTGTGAGTGGGCGCCCCTGATGTCAGACCTGGAGCCACTCTGCTCACTCAGCTCAGGAGCTTTGAAGGAGCCTGTCCCTCCACCAGCCTCTCTTCGGACTGCCCTTAGAAATGAGGCTGTCTTCCTCACTCTGCGGGCAGCTCTGCCAGCCTGTCAGACTCCTGCTTGGTTTCAGGTCTGTGGCCCTTCCCGAACCAACCCTAGCATTATGATCGATGACCTCCTGACTCCGTGCTCGCCAGGGGACCCAGGGGCCATCGAGATGACCTGGATGGATGTCCCTGGTGACAAACTCTTAGAGCCTGTGGTTTGCATGGTAAGCACCCAGCTGGGAGGGAGGATTTCAGAGCCAAGAAAATGGGGGGGCCTGGTAATAAAACTTGAGTTGCTCCCCTTCTGTGTCTTCGGCCCTTGTGGCTCCTTTGAGAGGTTTGCCTTCGCAGGTTTGGGTCCCTGCCAGGACAGAAGCAGTAGTGTTCGCATTATCTGTTCTTTAACAGAAAAATAAAGTCCACATAATAAGACTCTGTCCTTCTGGGGGTCTGGCTTATGTGACCCGGAAGGGGTAAAGTTGTGGTTGGCTTTGATGCAGTGGGGAAGGCAGCCTCTTGCCCTAGTCTGAACCGTGCTTATCCCGGCAGGTGTCTGTGGGGCCGCGGGGTAGACACACAATTCACGAGGCCCCAGGTGGGAGCTGGGAGCGTGCTGCTGGGGCCTGAGATGGGAAGGTGGCTCTCTGGAAATGATCCGCACGGCCTCAGGAAGGAGGGCCATGCCACAGGCGGTTGTGTGGGAGGGGTGACTTCGGAGGCAGCCTCCTGCCGCCTGGGCGGCACAGCGGTGCAAGAGGGGCGATGTCTCAGCCCCATGCTCTTGCCTTTGCAGTCTGACATGCTCCGGTCTTTGGCCACCACCCGGCCCACGGTGAATGCGGAAGACCTCCTGAAAGTGAAGAAATTCTCAGAGGACTTTGGACAGGAGAGTTAAGAGCTTCTTCACCTGGGTGATGATGAAGGTGGCAAGTAGGCTGGGGCAAATCCACAGTACTCCCTAAGTCAGTGGCCAGACAGGGCTCCAGGTGCGCTGTAGTCACTACGGCTCCTCTGCCATCCGCTGCCAGCCAGGGAGCAGGAAGACGCCCCGCAGCGCAGACGCCCCGCAGCCCTTTCCACTGGGAGGACGCTGGCTGTCCCTACTTCTCCCTCCTGGATGCTTACCGACTCCTTCCTCTTTTTTTTTTTTTAACTTCTTGTTTTGTTTTGTTCCCCTAAATTAATGCTGCTTTGATTTCTGTCTTGTTTATAAATAAAATCACCTAGAAGTGTCAAGCAGGGGAGCAGCCAGGCCCAGCCCCTGCTCCCTTCACACCCAACTTCAGCCCCTTGAGGACAGACTGATGGAAGTAAGAAAAGCCATTCCCACCCTCCTGGTGCGCCTCCAGGCCGTCTTCCCTGCAGGAGGAAGCGGTTTCTGTGAGCACAGGGCTGCTGTGATGGGAAGGCGGGCAGGCGGTCTTCACTGCTGCCTTTCCTTCCTGGGTGTGAGAACGCCGAGCCCCGCCACTGCCCCCGGGGCCTTGTCCTGGAGATGTCTAATAAATCCCTTCCCTTCTTGAACCAGACTTCATTTTGACTCTTGTCTGGGCCTCTTTGAAGGCCACTCTTGCTTCCAAGGAGAAGACCCCCTGCTTTCCTCTTTAGCAGACTAGGATGTTGGCAGTGCTTGTCCCCTACTGCTCTCCTTCGGCCTGCCCTCCAGTCATTTCCCCGGTGGCCTGGAATTTCACGTGGGGATGTTCAAAGAACTAAACAGCTCTTGCTGCTGTTCAGTTTCTAGACCAGAGACTGCCAACAGGGAGTCCTATGGGCCAGATGTGGCCTGCAGGTGGTCTACTGTCACATTTAAAGTCCAGAGCTGAAATAAAAATTCAGATTTCTGCCTTTTGGAAGACTAGATAGATAATGCTGGGCCTATGTCAGGCACCCTGTTTAGAAGTGGACTGCAGCCCTCCTCAGTGATATGCCTGCCAGGCACCCGTGGGAAGCAGTGACCCCTGACAGACACCAAGCTCCAGAGCTGGCAGCCCCGGAAAGGCCATGTGATGAGTAGATGCAAGAGACAATGGCATGTTCATCCTGTGCACAGAGGCCTAGCACAGGAAACAAAGCTTGGAGCCTGGGAAATGGCTATTGTAGCCTTTTTCCTCCCTGCAAAAACCAGTATTGTTCCTCTATTTTATTGGTGCTAGGGACTGAACCTAAGTGCTCGTGAATGCTCAGTACAACTCTACCACTGAGCTATACTCTCAGGCCCAATTCTCTATCTTTACAACTGAACGGGCCAGAACTGATCCATTTGTTGGCCAACTCTTACATCATGTTGGCTTTGCACTATGGATTCCTTGCTGTAGTTGGGAACGGCTAACATGAACTTCTGATCAACAGCTTGAAGGTTGGGCTCTGTGGTACATGCCTACAGCAGCAACTGGGGAGGCAGAGGCAGAAGAGGCAGAGTGAGTTCGAGGCCAGCCTGGGCTACATAGTGAGTTCAGAGCCTGAACTGCATAGTGAGATCCTGTCTTTTAAAAAAAAAAAAACAAAAACAACAAAAAAGGTTGAGCTCTAAGCTATTTTCCAATACTGGTAGATTAGCTCCCTCCCCCACAAAAAAAAACCCACCTTTTGTTTTTATTTCTATTTACTTTCTTGTCTTTTTGAGATAGGGTCTCGCTATGCAGTTCAGGCTGGTCTTGAGTTCACTTTGTAGCCCAGGCTGGCCTTGAACTGGCAACGATCCTCCTGCCTCAGCCTCCCGAGTGCTGGGATTACAGGCGTGCGCCACCATGCCTGGCACCCCCACCTTTTGAAGCATCAGCAGATGATCTATAGTTGGCATTTCTGCCGCAGTGTAGCTAGGATCTTCTGTCACTCTGGTGCTCTCAGTTCTTCGTTGTGTGCCCTTAGCCCGTTTGCAAGTTTAGGAATAAAAGGTCATCATCTGCTCCCTGTGGGGAGCTTCACTTCATCTAGTTGTGTTTTACAAATTTTACACTTGAGCCAGGTCTGACCCCCAAATCTTCCTGCTTAAGCACCTTGATATCACAGGGATGACTGGCAGAAACTTTAGGGCCCTTACATTTGTCCTCTTGGCCCTAGATGAGCTCACAAACACCTGCCTTTCCATTTTTTTCTCTCCATCCTCAGTAGCAGGAACCATTACTAAGGCTGAACTATCCTGGGATGGAAGCTGTGGGCTTGGGCTGCCAGCACATGACCCAACACCATCTATGTTAAACAACCTAATATGGGCAGAGGAACGTCTTTAAGTACCTTCTCTGCAAATCACTTCTCTACCAGGGGACTCTTCTCAACTTCTGCCCGCATTGGCTTTCACTGCAGAAGTGGATTTCTGAAACTTTCATTAGCTCGACATTGTTTTTTTTTTTTTTTTTTTTCCGGTACCGGGAATCAAACTCATGACCTTGCGCTTGCCGGGCAGGCGCTGTACCGCTGAGCTAAATCCCCAGCCCCTCGGCATTGCTTTGTATGTGCGGCTTTTGTGGCTGATAAGTACTGTACCTACCTTGGGTGGAAGAGACCTTCCTTACTGAAAATGCAAGGATTTGTTGCTGCTGATCAACACCACAAAGGCGCCACTAAGGGGAACCCCTGAAGACTGTAGGAAGCATCAGAATGTGGGAAGCCAAAGGAGCTGGTGAACACTATCCAAGTGAAAGGAGGCTCGACCAACCCCCTCATAGACCCTGTGTTTTTCAGCATAAAGAGCTTTCTACAAACTTCCCCAGGGCTGAGTCTCCAGCTCCTCTGCAAAACCCAACTGTAGCCGGAATCACATCTGCTTGCCCAGGTGGGCTCAGAGAAAGCCATAGAGAAGAAGGGGTCTTCCCTAGGCTGCCGTTTAAAACCTTCTGTCTGAGCAATTTAATGGACTTCTCACTGCCTGTGTACCGTGACTCAGGGGAGTTTGTTTTGCAGGCACACCAGCTTTGGCAGCTGGAGTTGCACCTCAGCAGGACTGTGTACTTCGCACACGTAAGGCCCCAGGTTCCATGCCCAACACCAAAAAACCCAGGAAACTGCTTCTCCGACCTCCATATAAAGATGGGGTGAGACCTCTGGAGTTCCTCAAAGCCGAACACTGTTCAGTGTGATGCTCATTCGTCTTTCAAAATACCCGTGGTGACCAGTAAGCACCAGTTCTATTTCTGTCCTGAGCCCCTATCAGTTATCACCCCACCCCTGCTCCATGGCCTCTGCCAAGGAACGAGCCAAGTACCAGCTACCCAAGAGAGTTCGATCTTTCCCAAGTTTGGAACTGTATCTGAGCCTGTTAAAACATGTGGTACGTACTTACATGAATGCTGTCATTAAATATTTCCTTCAGCAGGGACTACACTGTCCCATGTTTTTACTTCCACAAGCAACTGGTGTCTAAGGCAAACCAAGGACTTTAAGGTCAGACACCCAACAAACTCTTTGTAAAAAGAACTCACAAGGTGGCCAATCCCAACCTTGCCTACATTTTTAAACAAAGCTTTCAGATAACTGGGGACTATATTATCATCAGTTGTGGCCCTGGCAGCAGATTACACAGGTCTTGTGAGATCGTTTGTAATGAGAATGGTTATTTCCATGTCCCACGTCTCTCCGTGAAGAATTGTCAGGGACTGCCTCCTCCTTTAGGGAGCTGTTTTTCTCTTCAAGTTGTAGGCAGTGTCTTGTGCAGAGCTCATTTCAGGGCAAACATTTCCAGCCTCTTTCCCTGGCTCGGTTCAGCATGCGTTAGCAGGTTACCATTTCCAGTCAAATGAGGGCCAATACCAGATTGAGACCAAGATGTGCCCAGCTCAAGCTGAAGTGTTTGCACCTCGGTTTTCCAGAGCCTCAGCCCCAGCAGGAAGGCCTCAGTCATTCACCTCCATCCAGTGCACATTTGTGAACGTCCTGGTGTCCATTTTGTCAATGAATAAGCAGCCCTGCAAGTGGTCCATCTCGTGCTGGATGATGCGGGCCGTCCAGCCGCTCGCCTGCCACACCACCTGCTCTCCTCTGGGGTTCAGCCCTGCAAGAAAGTTCCAAGCTGACTGAGGCGGGGCATACTGAACTGCATCTTTCTCAGGCTCTTTGCCCTGTGTCCTGTCCTGGCAGTTCCTATTTACAGGGGGCGACAGCAGAAAGATGATAGATGAACTGGGCACAGTGACGCATCCCTGTAATCCCAACACTGGGAGGCTCAGCCAGGAGGATTTCTAGTTCAGGCCCAGCCTGGGGAACTTAACTCAGCATGTACTTATCTCAAAATTTAAAAAAATTTAAAAGGCCTGAGGATGCAGCTAAATGCAGAGGCCCAAAGCTTAATTCCCAGTACCCCTCCCAGAAGTGTGTGTATATATGTACACACAGATACATACACCTCCATATAGGTATAGACACACATACACAGAACAGCCCTTCCTTGGGCTGGGGTACAGCTGAGTGGTTCAGTGGAATACTGCCTGTCTAGATGTGCCGGGCCCTGTGTTCAGTCTTTGGCACCAAAGGAAAAAAAGAAAAGACACCTTCATTCTGCCCACTCCCCAAACAGTCAGCCTGGTTCTCAACTTTTGAGAAGTTCTGCTCAGGTGCCTTCCTCTGAACACCTTCCATTCACAAGAACTGCTCCCCTAATGCAGAAACTGAAGGGACAAAAAGAAAAAAAACTGAAGGGACACCATTTCAAACAGCTGGCTTGCTCAGTAGGAACAAGCATCCCACACCCAGCAGAGGGCTGCCCCCCACCAAACAGCTGCGGGATCACAGGCCTAACACGTCTTCCAGGGTTGGGCAAAGGTGGGTCCCACTTCTACAACCCCACTCTGGTAGAGTAGCAGGAGAGGGGCACGGAGTCGGGGGACGGAGGGAGGGAGCAGCAGCGGGAGCAGGCCACAGCCGGGTGTTGCGGCCTCGCATACACCTGCAATCCCAGCGCTCGGGAGGCTGAGGAAGATCCCAGGTTTGAGCCCACCCAGGGCAACTTAGCGACGCCCTTTCTCAAAATGAAAAGTAAACAGGCTGCACTCGGGAGGCTTAGGGAGGAGGATCGCTGAGAGTTCAAGGCCATCCTCGACTACATAACACCAAAAGGCTGGGGATGTAGCTCAATGCGAAGGCTCTGGGTTCAAGCCCCAACAGCGCCAAAAAAAGAGGCAACGACCCAGCGGGGAACTGAGAGCACAATCAGGGCACCTCCCAACCCCAGGGCCCCACCCCGTGTCTGCATCCCCTCGGAGCCTCCCTTCCCACCAGCCCGGTGCTCCTTAGTCCCGCGCTCCTGCGGGAGCTCCGCGGGAACCGTTTCGTGGGCTCGCACAGCTCGCGTGTCCGCCCGGCCTACCCCTCAGCCCGCACCTGAGATCTGCACCGCCTGGAAGCGGGGCACGTGGGCCAGGAAGCCTGCGACGCTCTCGCAGCCCTCTGGGAAGGTGACGAGCCTGCTGTCCAGCACACGCACACTTGGGTTCACGAGCACGCGCAGCGGGAAGGGCTGCATTTGGCGGAGCTCGCGCAGGCGCGGCGCGTAGGTGCGGAAGAGCTCGTCCGGGAGCTCCAGGGCCAGCACCTGCAGCGGCACCCCCAGCTGCGGCGCGCTCAGGCCCACGCAGCGCCGCCGCCGCATCACCTGCACCAGCCGCTGCACCA